CAATGCCTGGGAGTTTCACTAATGTCTGTGCCCAAATTTCAAAATAGCTTAACTAACAGAAGGCTCCAGCCCATAGCAGGGACCACAGGCTTAAGGGTTAGCTCAAACGGAGGAAAGGTTTCACACAAGTCCTTTGGTTAGCCTGGGCAATTGCCGAACATGGGTTAGTTGCACAAATCATCCTCCAGGGAATGACAGGATGACACAACGAAGTCATGTACGTGCTCAACAAGCAATCTGTGATTCATCAACAGGCAAATTACTCGCTGATGCAATACAGTAAGAAGAACTGCATTTAACAGAGAAATGTTAAAACTTTGCTCTTGCTCTAAAACTGACTTGCCACATTTTGTCATAGACAGATATAAAGGGAAAAGGCATCAAATAAGTTGCACATTGTAAAGTTGCATTCTAAGCTAAACCACGTATGATGTCAAACATTACTTTTCTGGCATATGTCTTTTTACACATGATTCTCTGCTATAAGAAAAAAAAATAATTAGGGATATGGGAAAGCAATCTGTCCTTATTACAGCCCTTCTCCCTTCTCTGTTACAGGAATGACGTGTCAAGCTCGAAGTTCTTATGTCACCAGTGAGATCCTGTGGGGTTATCGCTTCACCCCTGTCCTCACGCTGGAGGACGGATTCTATGAAGTTGATTACAACAGTTTTCATGAAACGTATGAGACCAACACACCAGTTTACAGTGCCAAAGAACTGGCAGAGATGGCCAGCCGAGCAGAACTGCCCCTGACGTGGTCTGTTTCCAGCAAGTTGGACCAGCACGCTGAACTAGAAACCGAAGAGGAGGAAAAGAGCCAGGAAGAGCAAAACGAGAGAAATGGTGATGTGGCAAACTTAGAGAATGAGTCCAAAGTTTAGAAAGACCAAAGGGACAAGCACCACGCATCCTTCTTCCTCTTCTCCCTCTTTTCTCACACACTTTTCTTCCTTGTAATTCTTAATTCTAGGAAAATAAATATTTAAGATGTGAAATATCTACCTGGCCAATTTAAAAGCAAGAGATTGATAGACTAAGCAAAGAGGCAGGTTAAAGCTGCAATACCCATTACTTATAATGGTATCTCTGGTCCCCACCCCGGTAACAACTACCGACTTCTTCTGCCTGAAGAAATCTGATTCGTTCAAATGAACAAATAAAAGCAACTGGCATATACAATTGGGATATTACAAGGAAAGACTCGTTCATGCTCATCAAAGAAATGGGCCTTGACTTGAGCTCTCATAAATTTCCCGACACTTTCATAAACTGGAAGATAAGCCTCCATGAAATGGACATTGCAGCTTTACGGCTAAGGTGAGCAGAGGGTTCTGCAACCCAAGAAGATACTGTACATATGCCTTATGTAATTACTTTCTCTTTACATTTAGTAATAAAGACAGCATGTATAAAAGTACTGTAGTAAAGAACTTCTAAATAATGTACATAGATGTGTAATTAATGTAGGTTTAGAAACAGAATGCTAGAAATATTGGGATGCAAAAACAAACCACCCATTAAGTAGGCATTTCTGTTCTAATAATTGGAGTGTAATATTGATTTTCCCCCCTTATATCTATAGCTCTTCTAGTGCGTGACATTTTCTTCAGTGTACCAGACTGGCAGCTATTTAGAGTACCTCACTGTTTCCCAAACAGATCATTTTACTGACTCTAAAAAGCCATAAGTCTGGGAGAGGGCAGGGTAGAGAAATTGTAACATAATTACTGAAAATACTGTGAAATTGTTTACAAATAAGCCAAACTATTCCTGGGTATTTGTTCAGCAGTTCAACCTACATTTATACTGCGGCAACCTCTTGGCAAACAAGAATGTCCTGTGTACACTTAACCTTATAAGCATGTTTCATGTTAAGGTATTATCCTTTATGTGCAATACCTAAGGAAACTTTCCCCTTCTCCCCACTCAAACCATTGGGTTAAAAGCATGTGGTTTGCTATACAGACAACACAAGCCATTGAAAAACAAATGTTGCATCATGGTAAGTAGACTTTATCATCTACTCCACTGGGAAAGAAATGGCTGGATTTCTCCCGAAGCAGTAACCAGTGAAAGTCTTTTGTTGGCAACACCGGTACTTTGTTGGCCCTGATGAGTCAAAAAACATGTGACACCCAGCCAGGTTTCCCAGTGAAACATGCAGCTCCTGCCATCCTTACTCAGGAGAGTGGTTCCCTAACTATTTACTTTAGGCTAGCTCCTTGGCTGTTGTAAATCATTGTAAATCCTGTAAATCCTCACCTAACAACTTTAAAATTAACAGGACAGCAACAGTTTACATTGCAGACACTGCAAAACTTGCATTTGGAGGGCAGCGGGTTTGTATTGTAGTAATTTCACGCCACACTCTGTATGGTGCTGCTCACACAGCGCAGCTTTGCCCAGTGCTAAGGACTGCTCGGTCGGGCCTGGCGCACGTAGGGTACTACCCGCTCCAGGGGGATTGCATTGCTCACCATGGGCTTTGCGTGATGGGGCCATGAGGAACAACGTTGCTGTCAGCAAAGGCGATCGAGCTGCAGCCTTAATTTTGTTTTATGCCTGCCTAATCCGGAAAGGAAGAATACACTGAAGAGAAGCCTATGTATTTTTGTACAGAAACATTTATGTTAAAATAGAAGAGAAAAAAAGAAAAAAAAAGAAAAAACAACCTCAGGAGACACTTAGTGGGCAGTTTTGCACTGTGATATAGCTTTCACATGAATTTCACATCTACTTTCTATCTTTCGCTGAAACAATGGCCCCTTGCTAATTTTCACTGAGTGTGGCTGCTCCGGAGGGTTTCTGCAGCTCCTCTGGCTGTGCTGAATGTGGAGGTGGGAAGCGCGGGGAGAGGGGAAGAGGCTGGTGTGCCAGGGCCTGGAGCTTGGCCTGGCTCACAGGGTCTTCTGCAGATGTCAGCAGCGGTGCAGAGGATGGGCTTGGGGTCCCTCCACCCTGATGGCTGATTTTAGCCATGAAGTAAAGGTTTTACCTACACATAACTTTTGTGAAACGAAACCCGCTGGGCTACAGATCCTTGGTGTCCTTGGTCTTCTGGCACAGCATCAGAGGCAGCCAAAGGTTCATGCACCACAACACATCCATGAGGCTTGTGAGACCCCAAGGGGCAAGGAGCACTTTTTAAGGGAAGGGTCAGTCCAGAGCCCCTTGGCATGATGGAGCCTTGCGCCAGAGATCCCATGGGCAACGCTTGGTCAGGAGCGGAGTGAGCCATGTGTGCCAATGTGTCGTCCCAGCAAAAAGTGCGGGAGCTGGAAGCAAAAAGGTTCCTCTGAGGGTAAATGTGCTTTTTGCGCTTGTCATTTCCCGGGCCACTCTATAACCCATTGCTGCAGTTTAACAAAAGTTGGTGTTCATGGAAACAGCAGCTCAGGGGCCTAACTAAACCTTTTTTGTGTCCTTTAGCACAAAAAAACAGACTCACGCCACCGGGGCATGTGCATGTGTAAGCTATATTTTTGCAAATAGGGCACTTCAAGCTTAAGGTGTGTGTGTTTGTCTCTCTTTCTCTCTCCCCCTGTATTTTATTGTCTTTAGTATTAATGTAGTATGGACTGTAAAGTTTATGAAATCTCATTTTTGTAACATAAGCTTAAAAACAAATAGAAGCCTCCAGAGCTTTCAACAGGGAGCTTCACATAACCTTTGTACTAGAATGTCCCTATCAAACACCTCTATTTTTCTACAATGATTGATTAAGCAGTTTAACAATGTATTTTGTGTCAAATGATTTCAACTGAACTGGTAACAAGACAATTAAGAACTGAATGTTACTAATTAACAATGGATTTTCAAGCCGTATATACCGAGTGGTGTGTTCATTATTACAGTAAATATCTTCTCTTGAAAGCCTCATCTCCTAGTCCTAACCAATTTACTTCCTAACCAATATACAGGCACTTTGCTGGCCAATCACCTTTAAAGAACATCCATAATGTATTATCTTATATAATTGACTACATAATTAATCAAGATCCTTACAGCCCTATACGTTTCACTATATTTTTTGAGGTTTTTCTCCCAGAGTATCTTGGGATTTTCAGGAGCAAAAGAATTTTGAGAGATAAATAAGAGCTTGTTATAATCCCTTGCATTTCTCATTTAATTCTTCAGCAATGGATAGAAATGCCAAAAAGATACCTTTTTGCACATTGTTATGCAATCCTCTTTCTCCCAATCCTCCACAGTTTCCAAACCAGATCTTTCAGCTGGTGCTGGTTTACACAGTCATATTACTTTTAATGGAGCAGCTCAAATATGTAGCAGGTGAGAATTTGACCTTCCGCAAAAGCTCCAACTTCTGTCTATTTAGCAATAAGTAGCATCTTTACAGCATTAAAATTATTTCTAAATATTTAATTATTAAAATTTAGCATCACAAAAATGCATAAATTCTCTTAGGTGTAGATGTTAGTTCTGATCTAGAACTTGATCCTACAAAACCATAGACGTTGCAGCTGTCAAAAGCCAACCCAATCAATTTAACTCCTGTAATCACAGTCACTTATTTGGTTTTATGAAAGGCCTTTGTGCAAGCTGGAGGTATCTGCACCCACGGCATCCATAGGGTGAATTGCATAGCCCTGCTTCAGGGGTCTGCACATCTCCTGCCATATGGAGGACGCAAGAGAGGTGTTGGAGACGGGTCCCCAGAGAGCAGTTGCCAAACCAGGTAGACCGATAGGCTTGCAAAAATGCAAGATGGATGGCGTGAAGGTAACTTCAAGACAGGCTCTGGCTTTATATATCTCACTCAGATATGCAAGGGTGCCCAATTAGTCTGGCAAGCCCCATATTCCTCCCCTGGAGTTAAATGCTACATTCAGGCCTTTCAAAATCCAGGAAGGAATTTCTCTTCAGCCACAGGGGAGAAGTTCTAATTTCCCTCAATTGCGTGCTATTTACACTACTGTTGAGGAGATGGGAGACCGTGTACTCAGGCCTTTCTTCAGCTCAGGGAGGTTCAAGGTCATATTCCACCTCCTCCAAGACCTTAATCCAGCCATAGCAGTAAAAACAGGACCCCAACTATTATGCCAAAGTCAGACAAGCTCTTGAATTCTCCCACTACCCAAAGAAACTTTAAATCCTTTCCTCAGAAGGGAAGCATTTTTTTTAACAGAAGAATGGAAAATTCCTCATTTCTTCCATCCATAATAGCCTATAACCTATTGATGGGGTCACTCCCTTGCTACGTGGCAGTTGCACTAGCTGCAACACCTCTGATGCTGAGAAAGGCACAGATTTCACATTTCTCACATCCTGGACAAGCACTTTCAGCAGTCAGCTGCAAGGATATATTGACCGAGTCTTTTGCTCATGTTACTGAATCAAAGTAACCACCATCTCTCCTAGGAAGCTAAACTCCATAAGATTTGAGCTTGATGTGCTCTAAACAAATCTGCCAAAACAGCCCTCCTGGGATGCACAGGTAGAGCAACATCAAGATGTTTTATCTCGCTTCAGCTACTCTGTGTGATAGGTATGGAGCTGCCCTGACGCGACAGACGATGTGTTCTGCTTGCACCACTTCTGTCTTTTCTGACAGACAGAAGTGGCTTCTATGTCTTACAAGTTTTTCAGATTTGAATATAAGCAAAATTTACACTATCTGCCTCAGATATTTATTACAGATGTGAATTGGAGCATAACTTCCCCATATAGTCATAGGAGAGTCAGCCACCCCCTGCGTGGGATATTTCTGAGTATATAAAGGCAGCAATTCTGGATGTGAAACAATATCAACATTTTACTATCACTATACTTTCCATCTATCCAAATACCAATGTTCTCAAAATATTGGCCACCTTAACAATGACTTCCCCTTGCTAGGATACTACTTAGGCTACAAATCGGGCATGATTTATAAGAACAGAAGTTGCTTTACATTATGCTCTTGCTGCTT